GCGAGCAACGTGACAGGGCCAATGTTGTAAATCAGGTGGCGCAGGGATCGATTATGATCAAGGTGGGTTTTTTGGGTGTTGCCATGTTTTATGCCACAATCAGCCCATATTTGTTGCGTAATTTCCAGCCTCTATTTATGTGGGCACGAGTGACGTGTTCTCTACTGGGTCTACCAAATTAATCCCTTGAACATAAGGATGAGTTTTTTTTGTTGTCTCAGATTTGGTAAAATTGCGCTGGAGTTGTGCTGTAGGGTTTTTGTTTCTAGCTTAGATTGAAAGGAAATTGTCTCATGTCTGTTGTATTATTTAGCTTTCACCAGTCTTATAGCTGTGTGTTCGATATGTAATCAGCTTTGTGGTTGGCACGTACTTACGCTTAGGCCTCTGACTTCCTCGGGATCCGCCACCTTTCACTGGCGTAAGGGACTATAATGTCTTTCTGTCTCCATGGCAGCCGTGGCCTACTCAGGGCACGATTGAAAACCGTCGATGGGGTCTATATCATGAGTCTCCCAATGATCAAAGAGCGGAAATAGCAATTGGTTGTGGAAGTTGTCCTGCCTTCTTGAGTCCGCTACAGGATCTGCTTCTGCATCAATAACGATGCAAGAGCTTGTTGTTCTTTCCTAGGCTGTATACTTAGTAGATGCATCTGGTTCAGGGAAGGCTTCCAAAGAAGTCGATCAGGTTGCGCCTCATAGAAAACTCTCCTAAATTTTGGGCATATTATGATTTTAACATGATTCTTTGATGAATATTGATCTTTAGTTAATTCTTTGTGACATACTGCATGTTAACTGGGATTTTCCTTCAGGAGATGTTGGTACTAGAAGCCTGGTATAATCTTGATTATCGAAGAAGAGTTTCATGGGAGGAGAGTTAGTTTGAGACTTTGGTCGTGGCGTTGTTTGTATCGACATTTTTCTAATTCAGATGTTGGACTAATGCTGACCAGGGCCTTTTTGTTGCTCAATGGTGATGCTTCTTGTTTGCATGGTGGTTTGCTGTAATGAAGTGCTTGCTAGGATCAAGTACACTAAGCACTTCAATTCTCTGAATGCTACAATCCATCTAAGCAATAGAACAGAGCCCACCGTTCGTCCAGCTCTTAGCTACTCCATCAGCTGCAGCCTTGTAATGATAGGAAAAGAAACATTTAGAAACAATAGATACAATCGTAAGTTGTGAAGAATCAAATTTTATTTATCAAAAAACCATTGAATATATCTGCAATACATTTGGGTTGATTTATTTGCCGGATGCAATCTAGTAATTTAGAAATTTAAATTATTTTATGGATAGAAGGTATTATTTAGTAAGTTTCATTAAAATAATACTTATGCATCAATGTACTGATTTTATATTTATATTTTCAATTATAAGTAAGTAAATGTATGTTTATATATATATATTAAAAAATCTATTATATACTTATCTAATCACAAATTTATTTTTAAAAAATTAAATATCAAGATCTATTTTAAAATATTAAAAAATGTTTTTTCTTATTTAATTTAATTTAATTTATTAATTTATTCTATACTAAGTTAATGATGTAAAATAGTAATATTATTTTTTTGTAGAATCTTGCCATAAGAAATCACAACAATAACAATATTATTATTATTGAAACCATTTTACTTAATATTTCTACATAGTTTTAGAAAATATTGAAATGTCTTTATTTTTATAAACTATTTTAACTAATATATTTTGAAAAAAAAATACTTATTTTTAGAAATATTATATAATTTTAATATCTTTATTTAGATGATTTATATTATGTGATCTTAAATTTTAATTTTTTTTTGTACTTTAAACTATAAAATATAATATTTTTATATTTTTAGATTCTGAAAATTTAAAAATATATCAAAAAGTAATAACACAAGGACAATTCTTCTACCACCACTTTTAGTTGAAATTTATTTTGAAATAAAACATGAAATAAATAAATAAATGAGAACTTAAATTTTATATTTATTATACTAAAAATATATTCACAAAAGTATGTTTTGTAAACAAATATTATTATAAACAACACATTGAGTGTTGTAGATCAATTATAAAGTATGCAATCTACATTAAATATAAATGCACAACCAACATTGTCTTAAGTGAAAGATAATGAATCTACATACATCTAAATCAAGCTACCTCTGACTCCACAAATATAGAGTGCAAGTGTAATTAGAGAAAATCCTAAAGCTTTACTAAATAGCTTAATTACTATAACTAATCAAATCCTTATAACATAATATATTTCACTCAAAATCACTTACAAGACTTAATTTGATAAGAGTGTCTAGTCAAGAGGGTCTCTCTACCTAAGTCTTTAAATCTTAATTGATATTAACAAAGTCAATTAATAAAAAAAAACCAAATGAATAGAAAACTACTAAATCAAACTAAATTATATATATTTGATGGAATTTGGTATCTGATGTTGCATTATGTGATAGTTGTTGTGTACACAAAGATTATTATATACAGTACATTAAGTACTATAAATCAATTATAAAATATGCAATCTAAATCAAATACAAATGCACAATCAACATACTCTTAAGTACCTCCTTTAGCTGATTAGAATCTCTTCTACTTAACTAAGAAAATAATACACATATACTAAAAGATCAATGTTACAATGAGCTTTCAATAAAAATATATCCAACCAAACCAACATCATAGCAACTGGATTACCAAAAACGTGTGGCAAAGACAAAAGAAGGAATCTCCAATCCTTATCAACAAATGAAGCATGGTTGGAAGACATTCTATAATAAGAAAAAATCCTATCACCTAAAAGAAAGATAAAAAGAGATGGTGTTAAGCATGCCATATACCATCCATCTTAGCATTAATCACTTCATAGCATGACAACAACCCCTTTAGAAGTATTATGATCTTCATAATTAATTTGACATCCATGCTAGGTTTTTAGTACTTCACTTGTGGTAGGTGCCATATTTTTTGTTGATGTTTGAACATGTGTGGGAGTTGCAACTACGATTTATCTTAATGTACCAAACATATAATTATCCAAAGTAGAAGAACTTACTTTAGCTTTAGAATTCACATGAGATCTAATAACTTGGTCTAGTAAGGTTATACTATTGAATCTCTTTTCTAATTTGAGAATATTAGCTTCTAAGACTCTTTCTTTATTCAAAGTAGGCTGCTTCTTTGGATGTAAAATGAATCAAATTTTTTAATATTATTAGGTTTATCACAATAAACACATTTTAATTATTTCTTCTTTTAGTATTTTTTTTTTTTTTTTTTCTTTAGACTTCTCTATATGTTGGATCTTCTTCTTTTTAGAACAGTTGAGATTATTTTTGATGTGGCAAGATTCACCACACTTCTAACAATGCCTAATCCTTTTGAATTGAGTTTTTGGCAAGATACTCATAGAAATTGCAACCTTATTAGACCTAAACACATTTGTCAACTAAGCAACTATATCAATAGCAACATGTTGATAAAGTATCCTATTATATTTCTTGACTTTAAAAAATGCCTATACAAGTATTGCCTTACCATCATAGTTGAAGATAATTCTGAATATGGCTAAATTTAGAAGTTGTCTATCAATCTTTAATTAAAAAAATCTTAAAAAATTAGCTTTTAGCAAATACACCTTTTGATTCCATTGCAAACTAAGCCAAATGAATATACATAGTACAAGAGGTGTCTCCTTTTTCACATTAAAAGACTTCAATACATTGCCTTTGATTGAACCTAAAATTCCTATATTTATTCTTCAAGTGTTTGATAAATATTTGTAGTGGCTTAAAAGATAGTAGCTTTCTTATTGCAAACATTATCACCTTCATAGCTTGAGCCATTTGTCATAAAGTAGATAGGATATTATTTGAGACTATTGCTACTCTTTTTATTTGGTGTCTTTTAGAGATAGACCAATTTTTGCTTTTAGTGGTTCTTCTTCTTTTATTGTAAGAATTAAGTTAAAAATAGTACCTACTTTAAAAGCTAAAATGAACTCTATTCTTATCCCCTAATTATACTCTACCTTTATCAATTCAAAAGAGTACTCTTCATTCCATCTTTCATAGATTTAGAGTGCTTCATACTTCAAATGTTATAGTAGTAGCTCAAAAACATACCACTCATTGAAAGTAGGAAATCTTTGGCATTTTTTTTTCATCCATGTTTGAAATTTAAGCTTCCAATTTGGCAAGAAAATGACCCTAGCTTGCCCTAAGAACTAATCTTTGTCTATGCAATAAGGATTGTCTTCCATCTTATAAAATATATCGATACTTAAGATCCAAAGTTTTCTAGTAGTATTTAATGCTGGAACAAGTAAAGTCTCTTAAATATCCACCATTGGCTTGAAGACTTAAATGTGATTAGTATCAAAATAGTATGGTGAAGGAGATTGATAATATTAATTCATGGTATGCATTATAATATAGTTTACTTAGGTATTTATAACTATTTAAAGACTTAAGGGCAACTTGTACCAATATACACTACTAATCTTTGCAATTCACTAATAATCATCTTTAGATCACTATAATGCCAACAAGCGAACAAATAGAAGGATCTTGTTGGCCATCAGCTTCACCTCATTTCTATAATATGACTATTAATGTAGCTTAGTACAATATGAAATTCGGCAGCATTGGAAAACCTTTGGAAACAATACCTACAATTAAGAGAAGGTACTAAGGCAAAAACCAAAAATCCACAATAGATCCTCCTTTGCAATAACAAAGCAGAAATCACAAGTGAATCAAGCAACTAGCACATGTCTGCAATTGAAGGTCAAAAATAAAAAGTGAATCAAAGTAATTGGCACCTACTTGGGTTGATGGTTACAAATCACAAAACCTTTTACAATAAAAGAAAATTGCAACAAAATAAAATTTGAAGAAAAAAAGAAATAAAAATTCACTTAGAAAGCAAATGGCATTGAATAAATGCTACTTCAATGCTCCAAATGATCTCCACTTCACAAACTAAGAATGCCATTGGCTTCTTTGGACATCTTTTATATAAAAATGATTCAAAGATGGTCAAGTTTGGATTTTGTATGCTCTTGGAGTAAACTTCCAAACTTGTCACTTAGGAGTTTTGGGCAGATAGATAGATAGATAGATAGATATTTCTTTGAGAATTTTAAGCCTTCTTATTGTGCACTGTCGCCTATGACCACGCTGGCCCTTGACCGTGTGGCTTCTACAACCAAGTGCTCCTGTCACGGCGTGGCCTTATGACCGTAATAAGCTTTCTTTACATGTGGGACCTATTACCACGCAAAGCTTATCACCGCGTTGGCCCTATCGTCAAGTGCCGCAGGTTATTGCAGTTCACCGCGAAGTGTCGCCGATTGCCGCTACGTGTTGCAAATTGTCACCAAGAATCATCAACTCACTGCTCCCTTGCGCGACTTTGCTCCACTCGCACCAACTTCGCGACAATGCCTTACACACAGTGTACCGCACAACAATTGAAATTTTGCACAATTCATCACTGCCGCAACAAATACATGCGACATTACAATCCACCCAATAATGTGCCACGCCAAAATGTAACACAAAAATGCTCACCATAACCAAGCCCTAGTGCAGCAACAATAACCCGACGTTTGACCATACCATATCGCACCACAGCGCCGCAGAAGCAACCGCACCGAATTGTGGCCTTCCTGCACCGACTGCTCCAATACTGCGACCCTCCTACGCTGACAGACTCCCACGACCCACATCCCAATCCAGAGCCGCCTCGCACAGTAACCAGCTCCAAATGCTTCCTGTACCGCACCTGGCCGTACCCATCACTGCAACCCTGCCAGTCCCTCTGTGCCATTATTATTATTATTATTATTATTGTTTTTTTTTTTTAGTTTTTTTGTTGCAAGATCTACGTCCAACTGGGTTCGACTGGGTTCCAAGAGCATCAATGTACCAAAACATTACAAACAATGTTACATAACATTACAAGAGCCCTCAAAAATTGAAAAAAAGTTTTTATTTTATTTTGTGTTAATCTAAGGTAGACAATCCATTTTCAATAACTTAAGCATTTCAGCATGTATCCAATAGTTGCAAATATGGAAGAAATATCCCCATGTAGAGAAATAGAAATCAAAAGGGTTTCAAGTGTTTCCACACAATTTGTTTCAATAATAGAATTTATATAAATATTTTAGCTGAAGATTCTTTTCAATCCATATTAGACATATAGGTCTACCTAATTTTGACTGGTGGTGAGTTACAAAAACCAAGAATCCAACTTTTACAAAATCGTGATGTGTGGCACCTACTATTACTATCAAGAGAAGTGTGGCACCTAATTATACTATTATTCTATCCCAACCAATCAACAAGTGCCAACTATTGATAATTCATGCATACCTATTCCAAGTACAATGAATTTAATTTATTACTCGTAGCTTAACATCATTTTAACCAACCCCTATCCTATTTCCAATTAATAAAATGTCAAATCTAGTGGCCAAACTAATAGAATTATATAGGCCTATATGTTAGAATTGGAGGGGTAGTTGACAATGGGTTGCCTACCTTACTCCATTTCAATCTACTATACCACAAGTTGTAGAAGAGAGGATATTCTTGTCAAGTGAAAGATGATGAATCTACACACAACTAAGTCAAGCTGCCTCATATATCACAAAGGAAGAATCCAAGAGTACAAGTGTGAGAAGAAAAAACCCTAAAGTTTTACTAAATGGCTAAATCACCATAGCCAAGCAAATCCTTACAACACAAGCTTTCTCTCTTAAAATCACTCACAAGATGATTAAATAAGAATGTTAAGTCAAGGGGGTTTTTCTACTTAAGTCTTCAAACCCTAGTTGACACTAACAAAATCAAGTAATTAAAAAAACCTAAGTGGATAGAAAACCATTAAACCAAACTAAATTACATACATCCAACAAGATTTGGCACTTGATGCCACATCATGTGACAATGTGAATATAGAAGCATTTACTTAAATTTATAAAAAAAACACAGAGAAAAAATCATAAGTTTTTTAGATAATTTTACCAAAAAAAACAAATTATTTTATTAAAATATTAAAAAAATAGAACCATTTTATTCTTACAACTATGAATATCACAAGGAGAGTTTTGAAAGAACATTGTAGGTAAATATTTTTAGTAGTAAGTACTTCAAAGCCAACTATACATTAGAACTTTTAACACAACCAACTGTAGAATAATATTCTTTGATTAAATATTTTTTTATTTTAGTGATGGTAGTGGTTAATATTTTTAATAATAATGGATAAGAGATTATATTTAAAAGACATTCAAAAAGTTTCATTAATAATCAAATTACAACATGATTATAAATAAAAGACTTAGACTATCATTAATAACTAAATATTATTTTTGAAAGAGATTTAAACTAGCATGTTAAACATTTATTTGTAGTTATGTTTTGTAGATATAAAAACAATATAGATTGATGCAGTTTAAATTTCTGTTTTGATGTTTACATAACATGTGAGCTATATCATAATATTGTTAATTTTAAATAGCTCACATGTTATGTAAACATCAAAACATGAATTTATTATAGTAAAATTAAATAATCACATTATGTTTGTGTTAGCATTATTATGTGTATATAAAAAGTAGACAAATAAAGAAAGAGGAATGTTAAATAGACCTAGGTTTTTACTAAATCAACCTACCCATGATAAAGAGTATGATAATCACAATGAATGTGATTGGTTTACATTGATTTCAGATCCAATAGTAGAGAAATGAATCCAAAAGTCATTTATTTTTTCATGATGGTTAGGATGAATGAATCATTTAGTAAAGGCCTAGTCTATTTGACATTCCCTTAAAAAAATATTAAAGAAATAATACAACTAATTATATAAGTCAATCACTTACTACATAATTTAACATGGGCACATGTGTAATGACAGCAATTCTATGTCGCCATTAGGGGAAAAAAATTACTTTCAGGGACTCGACAGAATAACTTAATCAACGAAATGTAACATGGGCACATGTGTAATGACAGCAATTCTACGTCGCCATTAGGGGAAAAAAATTACTTTCAGGGACTCGACAGAATAACTTAATCAACAAGATAGACCTTTCACCAAGATTATGCACCAAGGCTGCTCTAGACAACTTGTTTTGCTCCATTAGTGAAGCCTTTATTCACTAACTAAAAATGATATCTGTGATCAAATGTCTCTCAATCTCTCAAATTATTACAACAAAACTCTGGAGTGAGTTTTTCATTTGATAAAGGTGGATGAGAAAATCCGACTCATCTTTCTGCAAATCCGTGTTCAAGACAAAACAAACACTAATTTGAACTATTTCTGCGGACCTGTGATTCAAGGCAGAAGCTACAATCCACAGAATAAAAACACGGTTTTAAAGCAAAAGTCGTAAAAGAATTCTGACATAAAAAATGTAAACCCTTGTAATCTCTCTAATATAAAAGGCGCCGTGTGCAATAAGGATATAGCAACAGAAATGATGCCCGAGATATGGCAAAACATGAATAAAATTACAATACCATGAAGGTTGATTTACAAGGCTGCAGCTGCAACGAGAATCCTAAGCTCTACCATATCTCAGAACTTTCACCATACTAAGATCAAGAAGTTTTCTCGTATTTGATTAAAATAGCAATGAAGAAATGAATTGCAAGATTCTGTAAACAACTTAAGGGTTTCGATCCCATTAGATTGTAACCAGGCTTACTCAATGACTTCGACAGAAATTCTTATGAACATTGTCTTGCGCACCTGACTAAACCTAAACGCCACTGGGAATGCCCAGTAAATGTTTTAATGTTAGTTCAATATGTGACAGTTGGTTGTACACAGATAACGAGACGCGACTTGATTAGTGGTTCCCTATCTGCGAGACCAAACTTACAGAAACTACGATGTATTGGCAGCTAATAGAGCTGACAAAATTTCTCCCATAGTTCGCACATCACGCTCATTTTGAACTGCAGCAGACTCCTTATCTCCACCAGACTCCAGAACAGCAGCATCCAGCACCAACTTCTGCTGGGCAATTCTGAATATGCTCTCGTCCACAGTACCATTAGTCACAAGCCTACAAAACATTATAGCAACAAACTACTATGAGACGGATCTTATGAATATTTGTCGAGAGGTTAGAAAAACATGCTTTCTTGAAATTTTGATCACAGATTATGTACCAAAATTCTTGCTGCCATATGCTTTCATGTATTAACTTGGAACTTTCATCGACGAGAAGGCTACAAACTGATCCACATAAAACTCGTGCCTTTCAAGTGAAAATTAGACAGGATAAAAATGAAATTTAAGACAGAGATGTTCCAGACACTAGGCATGTTGTGTCTTAGAAGAAAACATGAAAATTGAAATTACCGATACACAGTAACGGGTTTTGACTGTCCGATTCGATGACAACGATCCTCAGCTTGACGATCCATTTGTGGATTAAAATCCACGTCATGAATGATCACAGTATCAGCACCAGTCAAGTTCAGACCTTGCCCACCAGCCCTGGTTGACAGCAAGAAGACAAAGATATCTGGATTGTTGTTGTACTCGTCCACTAGATTCTGCCTCTCAGTCACGGGCGTACTGATCACACAACGACCTGGGGGAAATTAGAACAAATAGCTTGAACATGTTCTTCGTGTAATCAAGGAACAAAATTTTGTAACTTACGTCGTGAAGGAGCAAATATGAAAGATGACGGGAATCAGAACCAGTACCAAGAGAGATGAAAGGAATCAGGACTAGTACCAAGATTACTTCAGAGCGTTAAGATGTTTTAGTGTATGTCACTAGAGGTGAAGAAAATTACCTTGAAGATTCCACAAACACGAACTCGTAAGTTGAATGGTCATCACTAAGTACATAAAAGAAATTAAATGGATAGCAAAATATAGTACCTGCCATCCAGACGAGTGAATCGAAGTCCAATTACGGCAAGCGCCCACTCCAAGATATCCAGCATGTTCGTCCACTGGCTAAAAATCAAAGGACGGTGTCCATTCTTCTTCAGCTGAGGCAACAGCTTTACCAAAGCCTGCAGGGATATTCAAAACTCGACGCTATAAGTACCCAGTTTTGACAAAGTATACGATGACACCGACCGGTACTTTAATTATTTTGATGAACTAAAGAGACTTGGATAGCATTGTTCGGATAAGGATGAACTACAAAGAACCACAAGCAACCTCAGGTACAGACACTCACTTGACATTTAGCAGATGCCAAAACATGATGATCGTCAAGCTTTCCTTGACCTCCAGGAACTCCACCATACGTCAAACACATCTGCACAATAATAAAGGAAAAGTTATATCAACATGTGTAGCTATACCAATGCTCAGAGCAGGCGGTATGCACAGCAATAACTATCCCTGGAATAAAATTAAAATAAAAATGAGTTAGATAAACAAAACATAACATGAGTTATAAAATTGCAGGAACAGCACAATCTATTTTCCATTGCTTCTGTCTACACGCTAACTATCAAATAAATGCAGGTTTAGGGGTTACTGGACCCACTCTGTGTAAAGTGAAGTCACTGTAATTGCTCAACTCTTCACGAACACGCTCAACCGAGCACTCATTACCAAACACGGCCATCTTGTGATACTTTTTGGCTAATTTCTTCACAGTTTCATCCGTAAAAACCCGTCTTATGAGCAAAGGGTGATTGCCAAGCTGTCCGAAACGATTTCGGTACGTTAAAATTTATTTATTGAAATCAGTTGGAATGGAGAATATTAGGAACAGGTACTAAAATTACATAAGTGTAATCACACAGTAATCTGCTGGGCACTTGCCGAGTTACAAAGTAAGCAAGCAATCCACAATCTAACCTTCCTGAGCTGTGTGAAAATATTTGATACTTGTCGACGGGCTAAGCAATCCAATATGTTGGTAGAAGTAGCTTTTGAAGTCTTGGATGCTCGTGCAGCCATTGCTAAAGCGCGGTACTCAGTTACGGCCTGCTTGTAAGCAAGAGCTTGCTCCTCAAGCATATCAACAGAGATAACCTACATACATGTACCAGTACAACTGATTAGCGATTTCCCTTGCTAAACATATGTCAGAAAGACAAAACAACCGATAGGCGGATATCGAAAATGTAAGTTAGCAACTGTTGGAAAATCCTAAATACGCAGATACCTGTGACAGCATAAGCTTCGAGAAATCCCTAGCGAGACTCACGAGATGGAGTTATTAAAGTTTTAAGTTTGCCCCATTTCCAGATACCAATACCATCAATCTCAAAATAAAATTGTGAAAAATCATAATAGCAAGTTTAGAAATCTTTTAAAAAAGCAAACCTGAAATCCATGACAACACATACGGTACAAAGAGATCCTCTTCACAAGTTTAGCACGGCACCTCATGAGTCTTGGCCACAAGCTGCCTCATTACATCACTTTTCACACGCCGTAACACGAATGGACCAAGAATAGCCTTGATATGATTAATCAAATCCTTGTCCTGCGCTAAAACACCGGATGTGCAATTTCTAGTTCCAAGATACTGATCAAGGTCTACACCAGAAGTATCAAATATATCAGGCATCATAAACTCCAGAAGTGACCATAATTCCTGCGAAATGAAACCAGACGGCACCAAAGTTACTCGTGATTTAAGAAAAAGGTATTAACTGAATGTCCTAAAATAGCAAAACAAATAACAAAATTTACTTATACCTCCCCTAGTATATCTATATATATATATATATATATATATATATATATATATAGAATCGAAAAGCAGGCTGAGAAAAAATAAAATTTTAATCGTACCATTGAGACTAAGCACAACATATCTCCCAACTAAGTCTTCAATAATAAGACATACTAAGTGCGCGTAGTAAATCATGAGCACTGAAGCCTAAAAGTGATTAAAGCAAACAGAAACACCTGTAAATCATTCTGAAGAGGAGTTCCTGTCAACATGACACGTTGTTTTGCCTTCTGAGCAACATCACGTAACCGTTTGCTGCGATAACTACCACGATCCTTGAGTAGATGTGCTTCGTCCATAAGCACAGTGCTCCAATTCCATTTTTTCAGAAACTTTCGATCTTCCTTCATTTGCTCACTGTCAGAAATTAAGAACTAAGTTGCTTTAACACTAATCCAAAACCATAAGTTAATTGTGTGATTCAAGCTTAAACCCGGATACTGAATGGCCATCTACAAGATGAAAACAGGGTCCGGAGGATGTTAGGAGAATGTGATAGCTAATATTGAGTTTCTTCTTTAAGACAGCAAGGAGAAATTTGAACCAAGTTATAGGGTCCACGGACACAATGAGGAGACATTCGGTTTACCAATGAAATCCACCTTGTTAGATTTGGAACATTCGAAGATTTCAGCCTAGCAAACGAACAATATAAATGGGATAAGCTATTGATGTAATAATGCTCCCTCCCGAGCTGTTAGGTTTAAAATAGAATAACCAAAGAAAGAGGAAAAATTCGTTAACCTTTGCCTCTCAAAGAGGGAGTAGCACGTAAGCATAACATTAAAAGGTGCTGGTCCTTTTCCTTTAGCAGCACGATGCAGCCTTTCATACTGTATGGCTCTCTCATTTCCATGGTATAATACAACTGTAAACGCAGGACACCATTTCTTAATTTCTCTAAGCCAGTTCTCCAGCAGTGAAGCTGGTGCAACCAGCAAATGAGGGCCTGGATCTCCATCAAGGTGTTTTAAAAGTGCAAGAAAAGCAACAGCCTGAATAGACAGCAAAGACAAACATATCTGGGTGAGTTGAAGCTAGCACATATTATGAAAGGACACTAAACAATCTATTGATGGCAGTGAAACGACTTGTAAATTATCGTATTAAAGGATTTTGAACCTGACGTAATAAGACTACTGCGATGATTCCAAACGAAAAATCTAGGTAATGGATAGCTTAAAATAAGCTCATAATTTGAGCAATAAAAACGCAGACCACCAGGCCCAGTCTATAGACTGCCATTAGAGATAAGAATCACTTTACCATTGTGGCAGCTCAAACTCAGAGAGGCAGCCACCACGTCATCTAACCTAAGACAAAGCTGAGCATCATATGCAAAGAGTATGAAAGATTGAGGCTAAAGGTAAGCAAAGTGTGCAAGCTAACCTGAACAGTCTTCCCAAGACCCATCTCATCTGCCAAAATAGCTGGAAACAACAACTAAAGATCAGCACACCATTACAAATATGTTGGTAGCATCTTGACTTCTTTGCTTATCCTGATACACCTGCACTTAACATATTGTAGTGGACATTCCTCAAACATACAGATATGAACAACATTCAATACACATGAAATGGTAGGACTCTACACTTCAATAAACCCAAACAAATCATCGCTAAAATAATGTTTCTTTAGAGCCGTCATCATTATCCTCCTTCAGATTTTACTTTGAATAATCTTCACAGGAACCACGCAACAAGTCTAAAAAACCACAGAACTTGATGAATGCTTCGAGACAATCATGTACAGCAGAAATACCTCCTCCTACATTCTTGCGATGTAACAGCAACATAAAATTGACTCCCACTAGTTGGTAAGGTTTGAGGACACGCCCTGCATCGTTCTCAGCGATTCCGCAAGCAACACATACATCTGACTGGTAGCACAGAAAATTTCACATTATAAAAAGCTGATGCATTCGTGGTAGGAGCACCAGGGGCTGTAAAATGATCTAGAATTTTGAACTGAGATGTAAAGAATAAATGTTGATATAACAGCACGCTCCATTCATAAGTTGTAAAACATACCTGAGAAACAATCTTGGCAGCAGAAGCATCAACTTCGGCATACCGATCAACACTCACGGCATCGTCAGAGGTACTAGTCGCTTTCAGCTCACTCTTCAAACTGGCTGCAATGCGATGACACTTCTGTAGAGTCTTCATAATCGGATTATCATCAGAACGCTGCCCTAGACCCGAAGTAGCAAGTGGAGCAGCTACAGTTGGTCTAGAAATTTCGTGGAGGTTCTTGTTGGTTGCTTCATCTCCAAGAATATCTATCCTTTCTACAAGTAAATTTGGCAACGTTGGAGTGCTCATTGCGAACGAGTCCCCAGATTTCTTGCCCGATTTCTTTCTCCTCATCTCGGCCATGGGGTCAAAATCTTCATCATCACTATCATCCACCATTTCGATCTTCTTACGCCGCTTCTTTTTATGCTTTTTAGATTTCCGCGGCTGCTCCTCTTCCTCATCTTCCCCATCTTCATCCACTACACCCTCGTCTTCCTCAGAATTAAGAAAAGAAGGTGAGCTTAATTCGGGGTATTCCACGTAGTCCTCCAGCATCCTATGCCGCTTCTTCCCATGCTTCCGAGACTTGCGTTTCTCGTCTTCAGACTCTTGAAATAAAGGTGAGCTGGGGAGTGGATCTGGGGAAGGAATCTCTTCCTCGAGTTCGACGGGCCGTTTTGGTCTCTTTATTATGATTCGAGGTCGAGACTTGGCAGGTAAAGATTCCTGTACAGGAACATCCTTGGAGTGGCCATTGGAAAGTTTCAAAACAATTTTGGTCGCTTTCTTCTCTGATCTGTGGGCACCTGATACAGATGAATCAAGAGTTTTGCCTAGAATACGAGAAGACTTTACTTTGAAGTTTCCACCTTCGGCGTCTGAGAGTTCCTCTACATGACCTCTCATGTTGGATGCAAAATGCCAGTGACCAATGCTTCGAACTTTAGGGCCAGATCTGAAAAGAAAAACAAAGACAACACGTACTTAGCAAAACATGATAATTGGGCGAACAAATCGCCTCAAGTAAATAACTTCAACAACGGCCCTTACATCATTAAAGTCAAAATAATTCATAATTAAAATATGAACTGCAACATGCACATTTGGCACCAAGTTACTCAATGCCATACCTAACAATGATATTTCTGCTCACCAAATATATGAGTGAACAGCTAAATCTTTGCACAAACTCACCTAATGCAACAAGTTAACACTCAAAATTCCTATTAAATCAGTAGCACAAAATCCATTTCACATAAGAATGATTACGTTTGTAGTTGGAAGACATTAGTCCGTCGTGAGTGCTGCAGATTCGACATGTTCCCCAGTCAGTTTAAAACGCGTAAACGAAGAGTGAGAATGGTGAGCACGTCAACGCAATGTCAGGACGGTGATCAAATCCATTGATAGAATAAGCTCATCACCGAAAAGTACAAATCAAGATCTCGTGTAATTTTAAGACGTGGTAGCTTCCTAGCGACCTCATGTCATGGTGCAGGAAATTTTTTATTCAAAGGTAACTGGTCTTATCGAAAATCGCAGACATTGTTAAATGCAATCCACTTTGAAGCTAAGGTCCAAGACCGCGCAAAAAGGTTGTCAAAACCCGCAACCCTGACTGCACGAATGTCAAGTCCAAGGTCCACCACCCTGCACCAGCACTGCTTCTCATAGATGAAGGGAATTTAAGCGGTAGTTAACAACCTAATTCTTCACGCACATATCCCCTCTAAAGTTGAAACACTATTCAGTTCTTCGAGATTCAGCACCGGAAAAGACTCTTTAAAATACCTCAAACCTCAACTTTGAACACCCGAATCATAGGACGGTAAGTTTCTATGGCTTGGATGGGGAGTGGATCATAAGAATAATGCAGAGTTGTAAGTGTAACTTTGAAATGAGAAATCTCACACTTACATTCTTTTAAATTAAACTCGAAAGATTCCTTGACGGAGCAATACAATTTACACGGTCTCGATCAGAGAACCTTGAAACAATTAGAGTTTGAACAATATTGAGAACAGGAGGACGGATTCTGCTGGAAATAATATACGAGCAATGGCACCACGAAACCACCCCGGCGAAGTTAAACTAATTTGCAGCCGATAGACCTAAATTCAAGGATATACTCTACGAACAGGAGGAGCACATGCAATCAGCTGAAGCCACCATACAATATCATTGAACAGGGGATGAAGTAAAGCAAAAGCTCCCGCATGGAGTTCATCTAAAGCAGACGCGCGGGAAAAGGTCATTGCTCTAAAATACCACGAAATCTCAAATTCGACAACCAAATTGCGACTAAGAAAAGTAGTACTTGCTTCAAGTCCACGACAGATCACACTAACTGGACCTCCCAGAAGAAGCATGTCAACCAACCCTCAGCTGCACGATCAGCGAAACAAACTCGACATCCAAATTCAACACAATCTCCGAAAAACCGAATAGATCGACCAACCGGCACAAAAATATAAACAAGCTCTCCGCGCTCATAAGCATCCCTACAATTGGAATCCTACAACTATAAAACCCGACCTAATACTCAACAAATGAATAAACTAGACCCCAAGCACACCCCAAAGCACGGGAAAAACACATAGGCGCGACACGCAAACAGGTCACGAAATTCTTTGGAAACAAACTCGTGATGATCGCACAATCTGAGACATCCCGCCAAAACGCACCAAACTAAACTAAGCGAGGTAAACACCGTGATTCCAGTGACTATCAAAAAGAAAAGAAAAAAGAGAAAAGAAAAAAGCTCGGAAACACTCGACCCAAAGCGTGGAGCAGAGAGTCGGGAATTTAAAAAAGGGAGCGATGCTGGGATCGCCGACACAGGGCAGGGGATGGATGAGTGGTGTGCCAAACGTAAACTAACAAGCAAACCAAGGAAGGGAAAAGATGAGGAGGAGGAGGTGATACGCCCTAGGACATGCCTTGCTTTGCTTTGCTTTGCTTTGCTTGCTTTGCTTAGGGTTGGAAACAACGGGTTGAGAGAGTGGCAGCGTGATAACCAACGTTACGAAGTGGCGTTGAGTTGCATCTCGCGACGACAACCCGAACGCAGCCGAATCGAACGACACCACCCGATCGCAACGTTGGACTCAACGCCCTCGACCGACGCAGCCGAAACCCTACTTGCCTTCGGGAGTGTTCGGCTGACACGGACGGGCAGGCAGGCAGCCCAGGTTCCATCCCTCCCTCCCTCTCTGGCTTTACCTGGAACTCAACAGCTTTCTCGGGCTGCCCGCAGCAAACCCCCCCCCCCCCCCCCCCCCCGAGTCAAAACTGCTTTTGAACGCCCTCACTCAACTCCGCTCGCTCTCTCATGCTCCCACGCTGGGAGTTTGAATTCGTTTCGTTTGCTTTTCGTTCTAAAATTCCCATGTTTCTCTCATACTCTCTTTTTCCTGTGGTTCAGATTTCATACCATAAAATAATTATTGTTATTCGTTCTTCTTCTTGCACAAGCGAGAGCCCAAATCATAGCTGTTAAGTATTTTGTATCAAACCCAAAATACGTTTTCACTTTTTTTTTGAATCAATGTTTTATCAATTCATTTATATTACGTTTTATTGGTAAATAATCATCACCACAGAAATAAATAAGTAAAACCAAACTAATACTAAGACTACCAAATACATTATAAAAAATAGTTAAATATGACAAAATCGTTATTCTTTATGCACTTTTTTTTATAATTATATTTTTAGAATAATGTATATTAATATTGTATTTCTGCATTAATATTGCTTTACATGAATAAGAGAAAAATAATTATAGATATTCACATAAAGCTATTGTTTATTCATATTAGTGGTAATGCAAATTTTTGTACTAAAATAGAATACTTCTAAGAAACTTATAAGTTTTATTTATTTTTAATATTACGACTTTATTATAAATAATCAAAATAATTATATGATTATACAAAATTTCATAAGAGTGTTTATGTTACGTTTAATTATACTTTATGGAAAGTTTTTATAAACGGCTAGTTTTCAAATGCAAAGCATTTACAATCTAAAGGTTTATCATAAATTGGCTGTTTTTTCTTTCAATATTTTTTTATAAATCAACACACACATACATATATATATATAATAAAACATTAACTCAAAATCTAGTGCTATGAGAGTTAAAAAAATACATGCTTGTGTGTAAATCTTTAATTTATGTAAACCACAGTTTTTCCTATGCTTAAATATATATACACAAGATCCTCCTTAACATCCAATCGGTATTCAGATTGAAAAGTTAAATAAAATAATAATAATAATAATAATAAATATTTCTATCACTAATATGAAGTACTTAATTGAAAGTATTGTAAAATATCATAGTTTCTTTTTGAAACAAGATTGTTTCTAAACTATACTAGGAACCAACATTGCCACATGACCATGTCAAAATCTAAAGTTTTAATAATATTCTTAGAGTTTTTACAAATAATAAAAGTTGCTATTGTAGATGACACATTTATAGATTTCTTATAAATAATTTATTTTTATTTAAAACAAAAGTGTCTTTATTACTACAAAATGAATGATGACAAATCTTATTTTTACAAATATATTTTAAATATCTAATAAAAAATTAATGTTGAAAACTTATTGCTATTTCAACTTAATAATAGAACCATATATACCATTTTGCATTTATTTCATCTAATGATGTCAATAAAATTCTAATTAATTTTGGTTAGAATTTCGATATTTATTTAATCAATAGTTAAAGTAAAATTGGAATTATGTTTGTTTTTGCAATAGTATTTATTTGTTTTACTTTTTATTATGTATGTGAGTCTTGAATCACATGCAAATAAAAATATAAAGTATACTTATATTAATGCTACAAAATCATAAAGAATTTAGTGAATAAAACATTATTGCTTAAGAAAATAATTGCTCCTACAAATTTAATAAAATTGGCTTAGTATTTAAGGCCTTAGAATGATACAAACTTTATATTTTTTTCCTTCATTCTTATTTTTTCTAAAATTTAATAATTTTAACTTAGTTTTTTTAATTATAATACTTAAAATTATTTTTATAAAATTTATCATAATTTTCTAATAATTATATTTTATTTTATTTTAATTTTTAACAAAGAACATAAAAAAACCAATTGTACAAATTAGTATCAAAATTGTTGGTTCTAATCATATAACATTAATTTTACTAAAATTATACCATATTACTTCTAAATAACATTATATTCTTAGAAATCTCAATATTAATAAGTTAAGAATATAAAATCTAATAATCTAATTTTAAAATAACTTTCCATTAAATTTGCCTCATTCAGCTATAAAAGTCAAAATCTGAGAAATTATCAAAATCTATTTCTCTAATTGATCTTGTTCCACCATCTTTTTAAATTTTAGTATTAAAGTATATAAATTCAAATAAAACAAGTAATATGTTATCTTTTCATAATTATTTTTATCTCCTTAAATTCACACTTTTGTTTTTAATCTTACACTGACATATGTTTTTTTGTAAAACAAAACTTCTAGATCTTCTAATTCTAGATACTATAAGTCTACTATAAAATAGAATGAAAACATAAAAAATATTATTTCCTACTCAAATGGTATTAATATTTATAAATAATAAATAAAATTAATTCAATAAAACTTTTATATTAATAATTTTATATTCTTATAACATTGATAGAATATATATATATATATATATATATATATATACATATACATTTATACATATGCATATACATATATTTGAGGTATAAATTTAAAAATAATAAAAAAAATTAAATACTTTAATGTAAAAATAAATATTATTTTAATAATTTATTATGAACAAATAACATGTATTACTGCAATCAGTTCAATCTTAAGCTGATTGCTACAAAAATTTATTGAGTGCTCTAATCAATACAATCAGATTAAAATTAGCACACTCAATGTATCTTCTTTACTTGAAGAAACATACAAGTGTCTTTAAGTAAAGAAGTCTACTACCAAGGATCTACATTAATTACAAACTATCAATTAAGAATTCAAAAATTTATTCCAATGTCCAAGCATATCGTATGGTAATAATTAGTCTTGTCTTTCTTTGATAGAAATTTCTGAGTTTATTAATAAATATTAATACATTGATCTTTGATATTTCTTTTTATAACAAGAGATAACAAAACAACTATTTCACCTTGACTTCACTTTAAAAAGTAAAATACATGCAAATCTATTGACAATATCATCATTAAAAGTTTGTATTGATAACATTGTTTTATCATTCAATAGAAAAGCAACAATACAATTTAATATATTATGAAGTAAATAAACATCTAATAACAATAAAAAATTAAAATTCAAAGCTTTGTTTTTAAATTTTTAGTTGTACAGCTAAAATAAGAACATTAAAGAATACTTGATAGCATGTTTAATCTTCATATGTTTTTAAATACGATGTTAAAAAATTTAAACCAAGACAAAATTAAGTATGTTATTTAGCTTGATGTCACTAATATTTTTTTGTTTGAAAGAAAGAAGTGAATATACTTTAGTAACAAAAGAATTCTTCAATCAACAACTTTCTGGAATTGTAGGTGTGTTTTTTATACAATATTAATGGTCATGATTACATACAAGTATCAAATTAAAAGGTGATAAAAAGAAGATATTTTTGACTTGTTTTATTCATTATAACTTTCTTTAGTGCTTATAGCAAGCATATTAACATAATTCATTTAAGATCATAAATGTTTATTATCTACTTAATTTAGATATATAAATTATTTAGGCCTTATATTCATATTCAAAGATTTATTTTATATTATTATATATCAAAGTACATTATGCATGATTAATACAACTTATTTATTCTTACATGATATCAAAGCATATGTAGTGAGTTGTAAAACATTATTAGTGACATCATTTTGATCTGAGAGTCGCACAAGTAGGCCTCAACATTACTACCATTCAATGGCAATACTAACATCTCCTCAAGACATACATTCAAAAGTAGAAGATATGCAAATTGATGTGGTATGTTTTAAACCTCTTATCAAGCAAGAAAAGACTCATTTCCATCAGGAAGGATTGTACTTATATTATGGAGAATCTAAACACAGTGCTCAACATTGTCCAAAGAAGCAACAAAACTCCAAAATGAGGAGTACAATTATCAAAGAAGATAATGTGTCAAATAAAGAATTTGTCCAGCTACAATAGGGACCATATGGCTAGAATCTTGTACAATTTCTAATAAAGGTCCTATCTTTTTCTCAAAACCATCTCTTTATTTTATAATAGATGTGTATTTAGGACTTCATAATTATAAAGCCTCTGCCTTGATAGATCCAAGAACCTTAGCTTATTTCTTAGACATAAAATTTGTTAAAAGTCATAAAATACTGTTAGTACAAAAAACTAAACATGTTCATGTAGAAGTCATAGATGGTTGTCCGTTGTCTTCTGGAGATGTTATTCATGAAATACTTCTTATAGATGTAGCAATAAATGTTCATAGTAGTTTTATAATCTTTAATATAATTAGATCTCCTTCTAATCTAGTCATTTTAGATTTATTGTAGTTAGAAAAGTATAATCTTTGTATAAATTAGATTTCTTGTACTCTTGATTTTTTTAAAAATATAACTAAGAATGAAATTAATCCAGTAGAAAGTCATAAATCTAATACAATAAAACCTATGCGAGAGCTTTTTTGCATGTTGCTAAAAAAGGATCATCTTATGTCATTTACGCCACACCTTTTTTAATGATGCAAAAACTTCAAGTAGCATTCCAAGCCAATATCAAAAATTTCAAGATGTATTTGAATAGAAGAATGTAGATACTCTTCTACAATATCATTCATATGATTGTTCAATTGACCTTCAAGAAGGAGTACAATTGCCATTTGGACCAATCTATAGTTTATCATAAAAT